CACATTTCTGTGGGAAAAGGATCTCACCTAAGAAGGCAAAGGATTAAATACACCTTAAGATGGCAGTACTTCCTCATGCAGTAAAATCAGAGGTGCAGACATACCCTTACCCTACAGAAAGGCCCCTCACATCTCATCTCTGACACACAGTTGTTCAGCCAAACGTGGATCATCCGTGAGACACTAAAACAAAACGCTACAAAACGCCCTGGAAGAGGTGAAAAAAAAACCCAAACCCAACCCAAACCCTTGAGGCTCAGAGAAGTTTCAATAAAAAGGGTCATAAAAGTCTTAGGAAAGTTCATAAAAGTTCAAAGAGAGTTCATGGAAGTTGTGACACTGGATTTTGAGCAACACAGGAACAGCCTTTCATGTGTTTGCAAGTATGAAGTCCACGAGTCCAGCCCGTTCCAAAGGCAAGGGTGGAAGGAGATAGAGGGGAAAGTAAAGCCAAAGGGCAGGGTTGAGTGCCAAGGCTGGGAACGGTCCAACAAATACCCCAGCGAGGGGAATCCGTGATTATCCCTCTTGTAAGTCTGTTAATCCTGGCAGTCAGCCTGTACCTCTCATAACCACCCAAATCCTTTTTAAATTCATAGGCTTTGTCTACGAAAACCAGATCATTCTGAGGGGCTGACCTGGCCTTTTTTTAGTGCATGGTGAGGAAGAATACTCCTGTTTGCACTTCAGTGTTAGCCACAGGCCAAATACTGGGAGAAACTCCCTGTCAGTCCCCCTTCCACCTTGAGCTTTTCCACATTTTATGGAAGGTTTAGCTGGACACATTATTCCATCTCCATCTTTTCTAGACTGGAGTGCCAAATGTGAATCCTCTTTAAAAATGCTTCATTTTTTACTGTGTGAGATTCAGCTTTTCTTAAAAAAAAAAAATAAAAAAAAAATAAAAATAAGCCTTATCTCACCCACTTGGCAAAGCCAAAATCTGAAAAACTCAAGCGGGAAGAGTTGCAAAGCTGCAACTTGGAAAATCTGCCCTGGACACGGTAATTCATTGATCTGATGAAGTGGGTTTGGTGTAAGGGTCGTAAGGGGCACTCAAAGCTCAGCAAGGCAGAGGAAGGGCCAGCCTGACCCAACTGGACACTCCCAGGAGTTTCCCTGAGGGGCCTCAACTGACCTTCCAAAGCAGAGGGAGTTGTTTTTTTTTTTTTTTTTTTTTTTTGTGAGTCTCTGACAATTCAAAGCGCAGAGAATCTTTCCTTAAAGAACAAAAAAAAAGACAGGAATGCAGAGGAGATCAGCCAAGCTGGATCAGAGGATGAGCAAAGGTCTCCTCAAACCAAGCAGCATGTCCTGCCACAGGTCAAGAGCCCCGAGGGGGGAGGTGCTGGGCAACCCCTCCAGTGCCAGAGCAGAGGCACAGCCCCTCCCAGGGCTAATTCCATGGACAGCACCCCCTCCACCTCTACCCTTCGATGCCTCCACTGACAGCAGAACAAAAGCAGCCTGAAATCCTCACCCCCAGAGGGAGGACTGGAACACACCCCACGCTGCAGCTCCTCGGAGCCGCTCCAACCCCGCCAGGGAAAACCGCAGCGCGACCCACCTGACTGAGCCTCTTGGCAGCACAGTTCACTCCACTAACCAAAACCATGTTGGGCATCAAGGGCTTTGGGAAGTGCAAGACAAAGTCTATCTTCATGAGCCAGATGGCAGCCTGGCGGAGGAGGTCCGGCACGCTCACGTCCCGGTGCAGGAATTCCGAGGCCAGTTTGCCGTACGGTTGGAAGACAACGTCGCAGAGAAAAAAATTGGGGAGGTCGTAGAGCACGTTCCTGACCCGCTGGAGGAAGGTCATGTGGTCTGTGAGGTATGTAAAGGCCCTGGGCACGTAGGAAGGGGGGTTGGGGCACTGGGTGGCTTGATGTTCCAAACCACAGGGCATTTGCTGCAAGAAAAACAAGGAAGGGACCGAGAGATGCTCTGCCACGATCTGCCCACAGGGCAGAAAGGGGTCTGTGAGGATGGCATCGAACTTGCTGTCCTCAAGGTACCTCATGAGCTCCTTGTTGTAGAGTAGGTGTGTGCAGGCGGCCAGGAACAGAGCAGAGGATTCCTTCGACCGCTGATAAAACCTAATGAATCTCTCCAGAAAAGATCCCCCTTCAAACAAGTCCTTCGTAAATCCTCGTACGTTTTCATCCATCTCTTCCTGTGTGAAAGGCACTGGGTACATTTTCATCACGAAGTTCTTGGAGGGCTTGATGTGCAAACTGACTTCAGGAGCCACCACGACCACTTCGTGTCCCCTCTGCCGGAGACCGTCCAGCACCTCCAGCATGCTGAGCCAGTGGCTCCCATCCACCGGCACCACCAGCACCTTCCCACCCGCGGCCAAACCCAGCAGGGACAGCAGCACCACCACTCCCACTGTGAAGGGAAGGGGAGCACCGAGCCCCGGGGCCATTCCTGCAGAAACCTGCCGAGAACCTCCAAGGAAGGAACCACGGGCAGCGCCGGCGCCCGCTCCGCACTCCCGAGCAATCTGTGCCTCAGCCCGACTTTTGAACCCTCGGCTGTTTGCCCTGTGGTAAATCTGTAATCGCTGGTGATAAAGGGCTGCAGAACCAGCAGCAGAGTTCAGCAATCTGATAGATGTAGCGGGTGCTCCAGATAAGCCTCACGTGCTCCTGTGATAAAAGCTTTGTCACCTTTGAGCAGGACCTGCCTAGCCAACGCAGCCCCTCGAGGCTCACTGAATTTATTCTCCAATCTCACAGTGCCATGGTCAAGGCAAACCACTGGGAGACCTGCCCTGCAAACACAGACGGTGCTGCTTAACCTGAGAGCCCACAGCCTGCCCCATTCCTCGAGATTCCAGCTTTGGGAATACCCGTGCGAAGGAGCAAATTCACTGACAAAGGAAGAAGCAAATTCACTGACAAAGGAAGATACGGTGAGGCAACAAGGGCAGAAGGCTGATGTGCATTTCTCAGTAAATACCAGCCCCTACCACAAACGTTGGCTGAGCTGTAGGGATTACACCTGACTGCAAGGCTCCAACAGACCCAGGGATTTGCCTCTGGCTTGTCCCTCACTAAGGGAGGAACAAGCTACACAGTGTTACACAAATTGGCTTTGAATATGCATAGAAAAAAAAGGCATTGTCTCTGCATGTTTGTAAATGAGAAGGTACAAAGGCCTACAAGTGGAAAATGAGGGAGAAAGTGGGAGAGAAATTTCTTTCATGAGTGTTCACCGAACTCACCCTAAACAGGGACTCGATTCCTCCCTGCAGCACAAAACTTCACCCTCAGCACGCACAAATCAACCTCAGCACGAACTAAACCAGACCCACCTGAGTCAGCTTCTTGTGAGCACAGTGCACCCCTCCAATGGGAATGATGTTGGGCATCAAAGGCCGGGGATAGTCCATCACAAACTCTACCCTGAGGAGCCAAACGGAGCCCTGGCGCAGGAGATCCAGCACTGTCACCTCCCGATGCAGGAACTCCGAGGCCAGTTTGGTAAATAGTTGAAAGGCATATTCACAGAGGAAAAAATTTGGGATCTCATAGAGCAGATTCCCCACCCTCTGGAGGAAGGTCATGTGGTCTGTGTGCTGGGAAAATGCCCTGGGAACGTAGGAAGGGGGATTGGGGCACTGGGTGGCTTCAAAATCCAATCCACAGGGCACTCCTCGGAGGAAATACACGGAGGGAAGGGAAAGATGCTCT